CCGTTGCGTCAAATGAATTTCCTTTAACTGCTGGTGAGGGATCCATAAATCAAGTTTCTTGACATAACCAAGGGTTTTTAATTTTTTTCCATGCATGTATGCGACACATTGAGCTTCTCTGCAATATCTCGTGTTGTGCTGTGACAATTTGAATCGATAATGGCCTTGATATGGGTTTCATCCACTTCGACTGGGCGGCCAGATCGTTGTGAATTTTTCAGCGAAAAATCACCGGAACGAAATCTTTCAAACCAATTTCGACACTACCTTTCTTTTAAGGCTTCATCTCCATATACGGCACATAACTTCTTTTGTGCTTGCGATGCGTTCTTGCCTTTTCGGAAGAAATACAATAAAATGTGTCGGAAGTGCACGTCCTGTTCTTTCATTTTTAAATTGGGATAAAACAAAACTAAAGAACTAAACAAAAAAAATTTTTACTAATTAACCTAGAAGCCCATACAGTAAGAAAAAAATATAGGTTAGATGCTCTGGCGATGTTAACAAAACCAAAGAAAGTATAGAGTGAATCTGTCAACAAAAACGGCAATGACTTAGTTGCCCACCCAATAGATATAGATATAGAAAGTACGTTTTTCGACAGCTTCACTTTGCACTATTATAAGAGGTTAAAGTTATCAAGTTTATTTGCCTGTTAAAATAAAACACGTTTTTAGCATTGCCGTCTACCTCGAGAGTTGTAACTTTTGCTTAGTTTCAAACGCCTCAACAAGTGGATCAATTATTTATTTATATCAAATGGCAGTCTTTTTGATAGTTATCATTAGCCCTTTAGTTGACTTTAGGCTTCGTAGAGAGGAAGGAACATTAAAGGGAGAAAAAGTCGAGAGGGGGGAGGGAACAGAAGAGTGTTTCAAAAATGAAAAAGAGACAGACAAAAAGGTAGAAAATAGGTGAGGTGAGTACTGTGGAAATAGTCGAATTTGACATACAGTGGAGTGATGGTAGTTTGAAGTGAGAAGTCAAATGTCGGTTAAAAGACTTTTTTGCCGTAAGAGTATACGTTGTCCAGGGTGCACCACGTGGATGCAAGTCTATCTCACGCCCCGTGAATGAATAATAGTTTCCGATAAATGATGAATGGTGGAACGATGGCTATACGAAGTGGTAATCAATCATTTTCTCGTTTAAATGCCGAATTCAATTCACAGTTCCGAAGACAGTCTTCGAAATTTTTTGAAGAAGCCTGGGGGTTTATTTACCACTAGATTAAATCGAATGGGTGGGTGATACTTTTCGATCTCTACAATACGTCCAAGTATTGCATTGCTTAAAGCGTTTATTTTGCATTTGCTTTAATTTTTCCAAACAAAGCCTGAAGCACAGAAAACTTAATTAAATTCTTGTTAATTTTGAAAATATTTGTCGAAATATTAACTGGAAGAATGAAAGTTAACTTGTGGAGATATTTTATAGGCTACCATTATACCGCTTGGCTGAGCAAATAATCTGAAAATATTCCATCATTGCTTAGCAACCAACAGCACGCTCCATGGCTTAAGTAATCGGGAATAGTGGAGTCGTGAGGAAAGAAATTAAAATTTTACCCTCGTTTAAACTCTATATATTTAAAAACAAGAACTTGAAGGTGCAATGCATTGAAATCGAATATTTAGAAGTTTTGAGCAGATTATTTCTCTACAAGCCTAATTAGAGCCAATTGCACTTTAAGTCTTAATGAAGCTAAAATTTGTTATAAACAGTCAATACTCATAAGCGCGTCTATAATCCTGACAATAAATACCATATCAACCTACCTACCTACCAACCTTTAGTTACTATCCTACTGCTTGAATACACATAATATGGGATTTAATTCGGACTTGGAATAATGCAATAGCGTTGATTTGAGGCTTCTCAAATGCCGCCAGAGTTCTATTGCTATGTCTGCACCCGTAGGTTCCTAAGTGTCTTTTAATTGATCTAGACACGTAGTTCTCTCATTTTCATTAAAATTTTCGTGCTTAAGTATTTGGTTCTCAGTGTGAGACATTAACCCAACACGTGGCTTATTTCGTCAAATTCATTCCTCAAAGTTGCACTGTACAATTTCTAATGTCTACATAAGTGCTTGTTTGGGTGCTATTTTGAGCATTATATATAAAGGATGATATCGTTAACTTTGCTTCTTCTTCTTCATTCCACAATTACTATGGTGGGAGATCATATGACTCACAATTTGGAATTCATTTACATAAGACCGAAGTAAAATGAAGTAGTAACTACCATTAGTTTAGCCTCTTCTTGGAGTGGACTATCGACCTAGGAACAATTAATTGGGTAATTTAAAGGAAACAGCCCTTGACTTCATAAAAGAGGTAGGATATTAAGAACTATATCAAAAAGCCAAGAACACCACTATGATAGCATATCTTAACCAGATCACATCGAAGAATATTTTGCTGATTACAACGGGTTAAATAGACAAATTAGACGCATCTTAAGAAGAGAGACGTAGACTGATTTCAAAACACCAAGTCTCATTTGAAGTTCAAGGCGTGATAGGGCACTCTAAGTGCAACGACACCTCAAAAACAACGAAAATTATTTAGTCTTCATATGACGTCCACTCCATATGACAATTATTTTTATAATTTTTTAAACAAGCTTGTTTATTTTTTCTCTTCAATCTCACAGTTCATTTATTTGCACTCAGGTTCGTGTAGTTAAGTTTGCTACATAGTACTAACGGAGCATCGTGTCAGGCTCTAAACGCCCACAATTTGTCAACAGCACGAATTATCGATATAAGTCTTTGGATCACCTTTGCTTTCCAAATGTCATTATAAAGCCCTCTGCACGATCCATCAGCAAGGTCCATATTTACCCATTATCCATGTCATATCTACTTCATTCCTATTGAGGCCACTACGTGACGAAATCAACCGCCATTCGATTATTGGTAGATTGACAGACAAATGGTACTCCATCAAACTGACTGATTGACATAAACTATAAAAGTTTGATAAACAGATTAATTGTGACTAATTGTTTATCTCTTGTGGAGGACTTAGCAAGTGAAGTACACCTCTTTATAGATGGACCGAAAAAATCATTAGTATGCTAATGTTCACGCATTACAATACTTTACAATAAGATGATAAAATAATGTTGGAAGATTGAAACCTCACCCAGACTTTGCGGAATCGAAGCATTAATTTCTTTCATTTTTCTAGTAAGAAGCAGCCATTTTTGCTCATCCAAAACATAAAACTTGAAGTGCTAATCGAAATTAACTCACAAATGCATCATTCGTTAAAATATCAACTAATTGAAATAGGGTATTTTGATAATTCTTCATCAAACCAATTTATCTATTATTAAATAATATGGTGATTTAAATATTATTCACATGTTATAGCATTTTATTTCGTAATGAAATAATGATATTGAACATTCGAAAGCCAAAAAGAGAAAAACTAATATCCAAAATTGGAGAAAATCCAAAACAGAATCAAAGCAATTTATGCCCATGTTTTAGAGTTGCTAATAGTTTCTTTAGTGAATGATTATTAAATGCATTAAAAGGCGAATTTCAGCAACACAGAAAAAGTTGCACAATGCCTATGCTAAGCATGTAATGGTCATTTAAAATCCGATATAAAATGGGCTTGAGCATGAAAAAACAATAGGAAATTTGATTCAAACTTAATAACATAGCTTCAGGCATTATTTTCATTTACAATATAATAAGTATTTCGAGACGAACATGCGTGGAAAAATTTTGGTGACTTCAGGCGATTTTGACATTCTAACATATTGGAATGTAGCTTCGAATTTATAATATTTTAATACATATACTTCGAAGGTTCATACGAGAAGGTAATTCAGTGAGATAATAGGATAGTGGTCTTGTGCAAACTTCGAAATGAAACTCGATTAACAATTTGGTTAAAATGGCACAAAATTCCATGGACGTCAATTTATGTCATTTTAATATTTGTGAAGCTAAAATTACTGGAAATTACATTGACCAATGAACTATTGATTGGTACTAATGTAACTTTGTTAACTTCAATATTTTACCAAAATATTATTTGGTCTAATATATGTATGCTCCTCTTCATAAATTCTAATCGACACATATTTTCTATCTTGTTAAAATTCAAACCATTTTCATCATTTGACTTCAATGATAATGTTTTAATTACTTTTAAATAGCGGGCGCTTTTGAACTCGTAAAAGATTGTTATTCGCGTGGTTGGTTTGGAGGCAATGGAGTCTGGTAAGTAGCAGTTAGTGAGAGTATTTTTGTAGTAAAATCAGATTTTGTCGAATTGGTTGAAGGTGTACTCAAGTGTTCCGTCGACATTGATTTCAAGTATGTAATTGTTTTTTTCCACCCAACTTTTTATCTAGGTCACTCGGATTGCAAACTCTTAATGATCCAGGGCAACTTGTGAGTTATTTTAAATTTAATTTATTACTAGGTCGCTGTGGCAAACTGGATTCGTTTCGCCCGATTTGAGTTATCAAGCTCTGGAAACCTCGATAGAGCCTTAACAGAATTAGATAGGTGTCTAGACCATCGGTCATTTTTGGTTGCTGATGCTGTAACTCTTGCGGATATAGCAGTTTGGGCTCTATTGATCCGTAAATAGCGCTTTTTTATATATCGTTTCAATCAGCTTTGTATATTCTCACTGGGGTTTTCTTTGTTTAAGGCAATGACTATTGGCAACAGCTATGCGATAAAGAGGCGAAGAATCCACCTTCCGTTAAAAAGAGTTATCCAAGCCTAAGGCGTCTTGTTGATTTCATAAATCAGCTGCCTGAGATGCGCAATTTCTGTTCGGCATTGGATCAAAATGTGGTTTCCCCCAAAAAACCCATCCAACCCAAACAGTCCGAAGCGAATTCCGTCCAGACGAAGACTCCGACTGCTAAAGGTCGTGTCGCTACTGACATGAAATTCGAAGAGGGTGGAAAATTCTCCGATCTTCCCGGTGCTGAGATGGGCAAAGTTGTAGTTCGATTTCCCCCAGAAGCCAGTGGTTTCATGCACATTGGCCACGCCAAAGCCGCTCTCCTTAATTATCACTACAAGCAAATCTTTAATGGAAAGCTCATTCTTCGTTTTGATGATACGAATCCGGCGAAGGAAAATGCTGCTTTCGAAGAGGCCATTCTAGAAGATCTTCCTCGTTTGGGCATCAAATGGGACGATTTTACTTTCACTTCGAATTATTTTGACAAAATGATCGACTTTTGTACTCAGATGATTAAGGACGGAAAGGCTTATGCTGATGATACCGATGCTGAAACTATGAGGGCTCAGCGTGAGGAAAGGAAGGAATCTGCTTGTCGAAATAACTGTATGCTTTATCATCTACCTATCAGTTCTCTAGTCACACTGTCGAAACTCATTACCTGGTTATCATTATTTTAGCTGTTGAAAAGAACTTGGCTATGTGGAAAGCAATGCAAGAGGGTACTGAGGCCGGGTTAAAAACCTGTGTTCGAGCTAAAATCGACATGTCCTCGGACAACGGTGCTATGAGGGATCCTACAATCTACCGGTGCAAGCTCGAGCCCCATATCCGAACCGGCACTAAGTACAAGTATGTTTCAAAATATCGATTTTTTTTTAATTTTTCACTGATACCCTTTTGCGTTTCTTTATTTACTATTTTGACGTTTTGATACTATGTTTCGATTGATGTAAACCATATTTACCCATTAGAGCCATTAATCCTTATGCTCTTATTTCAAAAAGTCTTCCTGAGGCCTTTTAGGCTGAAAATTATCCTATAATTTTTTACTATAATCACGTTTTCACATATTAGTACTATGAGTATTATGATCAGAAAGTCCGCTTGGCTCCTTCCATGGGTTTCTTAATCTATTTGTTATGTGTCTTACATATTGGCCATTTTGGAATCGTTCCAGTGGACCTCTTGTTACGAGTGTTTGCAAACACGAGAGCATCTTTTTTGTTGTGCTAATTGCAATAATTGGCCCATCACTTCGCTTTTGTTCGTTTTCTTCAATTTCAGGATCTTAACATTCGTTTATTGAAAACCATATTTGTTAGTAAAATATAAAAATATCAAAATACTTATTGCATGGAAAGAAGAAATTATTTAGTAGAATTTTTAAAATTACCAAGATTATTGGAATAAGACTGCAGTATTCATTGAAGTATCGGTTCAGGTGGCGGATTGGTGAAGTAAGGGGTCACCATATTGGTATTCCTCGTTGAAAACCCGGTGATCGGGATGTTCAATTGTACTGATCAGTTAAGCGTAATAATCTCATCATTGGGTGCTCGAAAAGTATAATGGTGGAACCAAGCTATCTGTTGATTTATGAACTTATTAATTCCTGACCTTAATTTGGTCCATCCACTTTTGAATATCCAAGTCTGATTATGTATTGTTCTGCAATTATTAGGGTCTTCCCAATCTATGACTTCGCCTGCCCGATTGTGGACAGTCTGGAAGGTGTCACTCATGCTCTCCGTACCTCCGAATACAATGATCGTAATGACCAGTACTACTGGATGTGCGATGCTCTTAGTAAGTTCTATTCTCTGTTCTCACCAAACTTAAGGTGGTTACAAGTAGTATGATTGTCCTAGTGTAGTACCATTTGTTTTCTCGCTGATTTGAGTAAGTGAAATTTTGATCGACTGTTATGGCTTTCTCGCACACCTCATATATTCTTATTTGTAAGTAGTTATTGGTAGTTTGTTTCACTCTCAGCAAATTGGAATGCTCGAAAGACGAATCAGTCAACGTAGACATGTCCTAATTTCTAGAAAACGAGCTAAACGCCCTTAAGTTGGACCATCTTTCTTTCATTTTTTGCCCAATCCCACAGATTATTTGTAATATTTAATTCCACGTCCATTTAGGAGAGCGTTCTCCAGCACCCATCTTGTGTAGAGGATTATCATTATGTGGGCATTCTTGTGAGATAATTGGATTTTGACTCCTCGGAGGGCTGATTTAATCAATCTGGTTGGTCATACTCTTCAATGAATGTGTACCGATTGGGATCAAACTTTTAATCTTTGACTTCGAAGAATTGTGTTTTAAATTCTCTTTAAATCTTAACTGAGCTACTAGATATTGAGTTAAGGTAATAGATGCAATTTTGGAAAAAGCTGCGTGCAGAGAATTTTATCAGTTAAAGTGTATCATCCCTTTTCTTAGAACTGAGGTCCATTCACTGAGTGTGCATCGCAAGTTTGAAATAAAATTCAACAATTATTTGTACTAATGTCTACCATTTACTTTAGATATTCGTAGACCTCAAGTGATTGACTTCTCTCGTCTTGCTCTACAATCTACTCTCCTCTCCAAACGCAAGTTGGTCTGGTTTGTAGACCAGGGTCTTGTGAGTGGATGGGATGATCCACGAATGCCAACTGTACGAGGTATCCTCCGCCATGGCCTCACGCCTGAGGGACTTCGTCAATTCATTCTCGCTCAGGGTTCTAGCAAGTCCACGGGCATCATGGAGTGGGATAAGATTTGGGCTTTCAATAAGAAGGTTATCGATCCGGTGGCTCCCCGATACACTGGTCTTAATCTCCAGGATGGGCTTGTTCCAGTCCATGTGAAGGGTCAGAATGAGGATGAAACTAAGCAGGTGATTTAGGCGTTTTTTTGTTCTACATGTCTAGCCCGATGGTTGGTTTAAGTAGATGGTTTATACATAGACCTTGTGTGCTGCATTTTAATTAACACTTTACCAAGCAGGAAATGGACATGTGTTGAAGCTCTTAAATTCCATTACTTCGTATATATCTCTGCGAATGAATGAAGATTCTCTTATTTCTTAACTCTCTTCTTGGTTGAAGGTATGTTCACTTGTAATGTCAGTTTATTTGACGTCCAAGTTCCTATCCGACTGTAGATCAAATATAAATGTTTGAGACTTGTTGGTTTCCAACCGTATAATTATCGTGTGCTTTTATTATTTATTTATTTATTTCAAATGGCAGGTGTTTTGATAGATATCATTAGCCATTTAGCTGACTTCGGGCTTCACAGAGGGAAGGTTCATCAAAGTAGCAGAAAGTCGAGGGGTGGGGAACAGAAGAGCGATTCACAGATGTAAAAGAGGCAGACAGACACAAAAGTAGAGAAAAAGGTAAAGTGAGTGCTGTGGAAGGGGTCGAATATGACAACCAGGGGGGTTGTGGTAGTTTGAAGTGGGAAGTCACCTGCCGATTAATAGACTTTTTTGCCGTATGATTATACGTTGCCCAGGGTTCACAACGTGGAGGTAAGTCTATCGCACACCCCGTGTTTTATTATTATTTTATATTAAAGGCTTTTCTTGTACCTTCTCTCAAATAGGGAATCTAGGGTATGTCCTCAATATTCCGTTTTTTGTTTACGAATTGTCTTTAATGCTGTCAACCAGTCTTCTCAAAACAGCCTTACTTGTTTATGTAGCGTAATCAGTCACTCTTCAGACTTAACTGTATTTTGATATTTGAGCTATCTTGGAGTAGGTTCTGAGCCATCTTAGGTGTGCTAGAGTTGGCAGCGAAGTTGGTGTTATATCTTTCCATTAATTAACCGATTTCGTTTTAATCAATTCGAATAATTTGTGTATGGGTTATGCCGTGCGTACTTGAAGCACGCGCGGGATGGCATACGCGATATTTGGCTTGTGACATGACTACTGTAAATACAGCTGGTGCTATATATATCGGCACGATTTCGTTCTTCCGTTGCTTCCTACGTCTTTAACTTCCTAATTTACGCCATAAATGCGCTGCATGGTGAAGTGTAACGAAGTTACTAGCTACTCCATCGCTCATTTTCATGTTGGAATGTGTAGTCACGTCGTAATTTGATGACAATTGCAAATCAAAATTTTTATGTACTGGCAGAATTTTATTTGAGAGGTACGCTAGCAGTCGACCAACCGTTTAAGTGAAGCGTATTTAACTTGCGTTTTTTTGGTAAAATCAAACTTTACCTGTCTTACTAGGAAAGGGTAACTTTCTCTTCTACCTTCAATTTGCTTAACATTGGTCTTCATCTCGTCAACAACTTATCAGCCTCTTTACAAAGCATTTCTTATGACTATATGTTCAATGGTCGGAATCATTCTTTAATCTATTGCATTAACGTGCTTTAATTCAAACGTTTCCAGACTCCACTCCACCCGAAGAACGCAGAAATTGGCGAAAAAACTCTAGTTTTGGCTCCCACTGTCCTCGTTGAACAAGCCGATGCGGAATGCTTCATTGAGGGCGATAATGTTACATTCGTGAACTGGGGCAATCTTCGCATTTGTAAGGTTCACAAAAAGGCCAACAGAATCGAATCTGTCGATGCTGAGCTTAATCTCGAGGATACGGTATGAAATCTCTGCAGAATTGCTTAATTGAGCTTTTATTTAGTGAATGAATATTTGTCTATTTTTCTTGTAGGATTACAAAAAGACCCACAAAGTTACTTGGCTGCCCGACCCAACCGCTGTCAAGCATGCCGGAAAGGATCTTAGTCAACTAACTCCTCTTTCTTGCCTCACCTATGGCCATCTCATTTCCAAACCAATCATTGGAAAGGAAGAGAAATTCGAGGAATTTGTTAATCGTGACTCTGTGGTAAGTTATCTTTCGTCTTTCTGTATCATTCTGGCTTGTTTTGGCTCCCACTGTCCTTGTTGAACAAGCTGGTTTACTTCTCATTCTTCTCTCTCCACTTTAGTCAATGGAGAACTACTTGGGAGATCCTCAGTTGAGAAATCTTAAGAAGGGTGATATAGTCCAACTGCAGCGCAAAGGGTTCTTTATTTGTGATCAGCCGTTCACCACTAAGCAGTTAGTAGTTCCTTTTAACACATGCCCCTTTTTATAGTAGCAACCGATTTGCACTGATTTCTCCTTGTCCTTTTTAGTCCCTCAACTGGAAAGGAGGCTCCATGTGTCCTCATCTACATTCCCGATGGTGCGACAAAGGCACGTCCAACCACGGGGTCAAAGTTCAAGGCGGGTGAGGGTGCTGTCAGTAAACCAGCGCAACCACAGGAAATAAAGGAGAAGTCGTCTCCAAAGGTGATTTCCTCATTTTCGTTCGGTTAAATCTTTCTACAAAACCTTTTTTAGCATCTGGATAGAGCAAAAGAATAGTACTTTGATGCATCTTTAGAAGAAGGGAGTAGGCCAGTCATATGGTTCATTAGATAGCCTCTGCCTTTCCCAACATTCTTGTTGACCATTTCATCGCTGTAATGAGACAGGGATTTGCTAAGTTCAAATAAAGGTGGAATCATGGGCAAAGGGACACATGACAATTCTAACAAAGATTTCCAACTTTTGTGTTCCCCTATTTTTACTGTATGTTATTTCGGTTGGTTTCGGTAGGTCTAGTCATCTTTGGATTTTTACACAATAAATTCTCGTTTTGTGCTTTTCTTCTATTTCAAGAGCATGTATTTCCTGTTTGTCTGTTAAGCACATATTCCTTGGACTGGTTTTACTGATCAGGTAATTAGTTGTGACTCACTAGTTTGAGCTGTTTTGGATCACAAGTGTTTTTTATGTATCATCGCAATTCTATCACATTGACGTTAATTGTAAGCGTTTTCTTTTTCTTCGGTTTCTTTATATCTAACACTGCCATTATCGTATTTGGTAATTATTCGTATTCTTTATTCGTTCAATTCCTAAATCACCTCTAACGTTTTTCAATACATTTATGTAATGCCTCTTCTTGTCTTGTTCCGTTATCTATGTCCTACATCTCGAAACCAGATATCTGTTAATCACAAATGTCGCTAGTGACCTTATTTGACCATTTTCTTCCCCTGTAGGTGTTCGCGGATTTGTCTCCTGAAGAGGCTTTGAAGCGTGCCGAAAAGGAACGCTTGAAAGAGGAAAAGAAGGCAGCTCGTAAAGCTGGTCGTGAGAAGGCAAAGGCCCAACAGCAACAACAACAACCTCAAGCCTCCGGTGAGGCTTCGGAAAGAAAAAGCGAACAACCTACAGTTCCCCTAACTTCCTCTCCAATTACGCCGGAGTCAAATAGCTCACCAGTAAGCAAGCAACAACAACAACGGCAGAATAAAAAGCAGGAGAAGATGGCGGGGGAAAAGTCGCAGAAACAGCCCCAGCAAAAGAAAGCTCAAAACGAACCAGCTGCCAGTGGCCCTAAGAAACAGACTAGGTCCCATTTTCGTTAAATTTACTTCGTTTTAGTGAACTTATTTACTTTTGTGTTTTTTTGTTTCTCTCTGCTAACGATAGCATTCGAGTTCGCATATTTTATTAAGGAGTGCTTCAAAGTTGTTGATGTTTTTTGAGACGCCGTTTCATTCAGCTGATTCATTTTTTTATAGATGTGTATCCGAAGTATTCGGGAGGGCACGAATTCCGAGGTCCTACCTCTTATTTCATTCTAACGGGGTTGTAACTCCTTACAGATCGAGCTGCCCAATCTCAAACTTCCTCATCTACTTTTCGTGTGCTCTTCTTCTTCTTTCTATCTTGGAAACATAACTTGCCCGAACTCTGAATATTGGCACTAGACTTCTAAGCTCCCTTTCGTCTCAAAGTTAATGGGAACGCGAGTCCCAATGTTAGCATTGACCTCTTGCAATAGGTAGCGGTGATATCTGAATGGACGCCAATCGAAATTTCTTTAATTAGGAAGAGTAGGAGTTTCTCTGAAAAAAGTGTGGATCAAGAGCTCATTTCCATTTTTCGCTTGGTTTCATTTAATTAAATCACCTTTTTAAATAATTATTTCACTATCGATACTCAGTCTAATCATCATGACTAATATCCTAAAAGTTCTTTTTAATTGACGCCTTAAATTGTCTTTAAATTACACTTTATGAAATAACATTAGTGTTCAACGATTACAGCCGGCTTGTTGACAACATTTATTATGACTCACGCTAATAAGTGGAGTTTCTAAATTAAGAAATTAATACATTGTTTCTCTCGTTTAGACTTGGTATTGAAGCCAAGAAAGAAGAGGACACTGCGGAATGGTACACTCAAGTGATCCAGAAGTCGGACATGTTGGAATACTACGATATCTCTGGCTGCTACATTCTTCGTCCATGGAGCCACTTCATATGGGGCCAAATTCAATCTTTCTTCGATCTCAAAATATCCGATTTAGGTGTAGAGAACACCTACTTCCCAATGTTCGTATCTAAGGCTGCCTTGGAGAAGGAAAAGGACCATATTGCCGATTTTGCCCCTGAGGTTTGTTGAATCCATGTAATCTACTGAAACATTGTAAGTAGATTGGTTATATAACTTTATTTTTTTATAGGTTGCTTGGGTCACTCGTTCTGGTTCATCCGATCTTGCTGAGCCTATCGCTTTGCGTCCAACAAGTGAGACGATCATGTATCCAGCGTTTGCCAAATGGATTCAGTCACATCGTGATTTGCCTCTTAAGATTAATCAATGGAGTAACATTGTCCGCTGGGAGTTCAAACACCCAACTCCCTTCTTGAGGTTTGTTTCCCATTTACTTACCTCACTTGTTTCAGTAAATATGGGAATATTAACAGGGGTTGCGTGTTTTATTTCTAGGACCCGGGAGTTCCTCTGGCAAGAGGGCCACACTGCCTATGCCGTTAAGGCTGATGCTGAAGCCGAGGTTTTGTCGATCTTGGATCTTTATCGAGTTATCTATCATGATCTTTTGGCTGTTCCATGCATTCGAGGTGAGTACGAATGATGTCTTTCATTTATATTGTTCTTTTAATGTATGGTCAAGCCCTCTGTTTTAAGATATGCTTCTTTTGCTCTGTCTCTTAAAGGATAAAATGTGTAGACCGAAAAGAACAGATTATTGGTGCTTTTTATGAACCTATTTTTGTAATAAAAACTGAGTTTAGTTGGGTTTAGATTGCACTGTGAAGTGTAATATGGTCACTTTGACATAGATCAAAAAAATATATATTGTGGATGCTGAAGCGTTATTTGATTGGCTGCCCGACTAGTCAGTGATTCATCTGAGGAGACTTAATTGCAAAGGAGAAGCTTAACATGTCTTCTACCCAATAAAACTTTAACCCAAGACATCTAAAATTTTAACTTCGTTATTGTCTGAAACAGAATAATTTTGTGGTTGGTAGTTCTTACTCCAGAATACCGCATTCTATCAATCTTTTTCCCCATTATGCTAAGCTCAGTGTGTGTTAGGAAGCTTTTTGGCATTTGATAGTGATCAATTTTGACAAACTAACTTGGCGATATAGTATTCCTACAGACAACAACTGTTAATCAATACCTGACTGTCAGAAATGATTGACTGGACTACAGCACCCACAGTTGGTCCATCTGTGCTTATGTGCGCAGGTTTGTATAAAGATGCCTCAACGGTTGCCAATCGTCAAGTTGAAACGTTTTGCATCTAAGATTTTTCAGTAAATTTGAATTGCTTCCCGATCATTTGAGTGACCTGACTTATTCAATTTCTTCTCTGTAACCTCTTTCTGCGTAATTATTTTACCCATGTATTCGCTACTTTCATCCGAATTCGGTTTGAGTTCAGTCACACGGTTTATGTCTGCGTTAACCTATTAGGCTACTAAAAAAACATTCGTGTTAGTTAATAATAATATTAGGGGTTCCTGATTAGGGCATTATATAGTGGTGTTAACTTTAACAATTTAAGCAGGTTTTACAGAGATAACTTGTATATGGTGTAATTAGTCATTCCTCCACCTCAAATTGGTCAGAACTATCGGATCTATCAAAATGTCTCGTTAACTTTTTATCTGTTTTAAAGAGTGAGTCGAAATAAATTTGTTCTTCCTAATTCCCTTATTGAATGCTTCTTTTTCCGATCTCTACCTTCCCATTTCATTTTTGTACGCTATTTTGAGTGATTTTATTTTCTTTTCCTTAGGACGTAAGACAGAACGCGAGAAATTCCCTGGTGGTGAATACACTACAACAGTCGAAGTCTACATCGGTGCTTCCGGCCGAGCCATCCAGGGTGCCACCTCCCATCACCTGGGTCAAAACTTCTCTCGTATGTTCGACGTCGTTTTCGAGGACCCAGTGACCAAACAACCCCACCATGTCTACCAAAATTCCTGGGGTATTACCACACGTACCATCGGTGTTATGATCATGGTGCACTCGGATAACCAGGGTCTGGTTCTGCCCCCACCGGTTGCTAGATACCAAGTTGTTGTGGTACCTTGCGGTATCACTGCCAAGACGACTGATGAAGAACGCGCAGATTTGCTTGCCAAATCTAAGGCTCTTGTTGAAGGACTCTCAAAGGCTTCTAAGCTCCGAGTCCACCTTGATGATCGTGATCATGTCTCCCCGGGTTGGAAATTTAATCACTGGGAACTCAAAGGTGTCCCCATGCGTATTGAGGTTGGGTTCAAAGATTTGGCTAAGGGTGAAGTTACTACTGTTATGCGCTACACCGGAAACAAGGTTTACTATTTTTACTCTTTCAATTTTCAAATGGGGCGCACTTTTATCGAGTATTTTGTTTTTCTAGTTGGCAATTCCTATGAGCAAAGTGAATGAGATGGTCCCGGCTATGTTGGACGAGGTGCATAACCTCATGTTGAACAACGCCATCGAAAGTCAGAATGCTCATATTTGTGAGGCAAGCAATATGAAACAACTTACTGATGCATTGGATAAGAAATGTTTGGTCTTGGCTCCATTCTGTGGGGAGCCAGAATGTGAGGATTTGGTCAAGACGGAGTCTGCTCAGTAAGTTACCTTTAATATTGATGTGGCTGCATATTAATAAAAAGGTCTAAGAGTGGTGTAGAATTATCTATAAATCAGTAAAGAATTGTTTGAGTTCGTATTTTCCTATGTTTTGGTGCTGGCTACTTTCACTTTTTTCCAGCTTTACTGAAATCTACTTCACCAAGCGATGTTTGTTTTTTTGCTTTTTAAAGTGTGACTCTTATCCACCGATAGTTCTAGTTTTCCTTCTAGGCTCTAGCTCACAGGGAAGAAGAAGGCAAACCATGTACTGTTACTCCAAAGTCGTTTCTCAACATTTTAACAAGACTGTTTACCGTTGTATATCCGTAATATTACTGTATCGATGAAGAGGGAGACTTATTCTGACGAACTGTGCAGATATCCGGGCATGAATGTTAATTTAACTTATACCCTTCCGAGTGTTTAGACTCAGCACCTTTATGTTGACGGTCCTATGTCATCTTGTAAGCTCTTGAAGATCCACATATGAGTGTTGAAGGATATAGAAATGAATTATTTCATCAATATGGGATTTTGTTCATATACTTCCTCCATTAGGTTATACGAGAGTTGTTTTATGGCATGTTAGACTTGTTCTCGAAACAAGGTTCCTTTCTATACAAACACAATAAGATATTTGTTTGCTCCCTTGTGCTCTAGCTTTGGTTAGACAGGTAATTTGACGGTACGAGTGGCGAGGTTTTTGCCTCTGGACATCGCAATTAACAAGTGGTAACCCTAATCTTATATTGCAAGCAGGATCTTTGAGCAAGCTCTCCGGTAGAGTAAATCTCAGTTTTTAAATACCTCTCAAGAAGCGAAGCCTTTTCGATAAGGTCATAATAGAAAACCTTACCTTAACAATGCCTTTATACTTTCTTTTATTCGTTTCAGAAATGTTGTCGTTGCTCCAGGAGCTCCAGCTATGGGTGCCAAATCGCTTTGTATTCCATTTGAAGGAGAAATTGTTGGTAAGAAGACCGGGCCTTGTGGAAATGGAGTCCATTGTCTGCGACATCCTCTGTGCTCGAAACCGGCCACTAACTACACTCTCTTTGGGCGTAGCTATTAAAATTTTCGTGATTGTGTTTAAATCATGTTGTTAAATTCGATCACACTCTTTTCTTTGAAGGTTTAATAAATGTTTTGATGCTAGTTGTGTGTTTTGTGATGAAAGTAACGTTTTAACCCTTTCAAATGGGGGGGGGTATTGATATTTATTCGCAGATCACTCATGGCATGTATTGGGAAGTATGTAATCTGCTTAAGTAGAGTTTGGTATTTTTTCTAATTGATTGAAATGTTGAATTTTCTAAGCTCCCTGGACAATAATAGTGAAGTTGGAGGTAGAAGCGGCGTCTCTTCGTTGGGATCTACCAGTTGAAAGTTCTAATCATACGCTTCAATAGGATCTCTGGGTAGGCCATCTGATAGCCTAAACCGCAATCTTGAAATCTAACTTTTCAAGGTCATTTAGAAAAGGTCATTAATGAATACCTTGCCTGTCTTAACATTCGTCGTTGCTCCAGCTATGGGTGCCAAGTTAAAATTCATTTTGAAAGAAGAATTGCTGTTGAGACGATTTGCCACTTTTTCAAGGAAGAGTTACCAAGCGTTTCGATGCTATATGGAATTGTTTGTTTTTTTCTATCGCAGCAACGAGTCACTTAGTAAAATTAACTGTGTTGAAGTTCATTTCTGACGGTGTTCTATCAATTGTATCACTAGGTTTTCTGCAACGTCCTCCATTCAGGGCAAAGAGACAATACCTCTTTTGGTACATATCGCATAATAAATGCGTTAACCAAAACCAACTGTGTGATACTGAAGCTTTTTCTCTAAAAGCCCCTTAAAAGTTACCAACTTCGTTTGTGATATGAAAGCGAGGATCAAAAAGGGGTGAGCAGAGTTTGTTCCAAGAGGATCAACAATGACATGAGGTCTGGAGACCGTGTGTATGCATCACAGAGATGAAGGCAGCTTATTTTTCTCGCGTTTACATTAGTGATGGGCTAGTTGGGTAAGGGGGGGGAGGTTGGAAATGTACTTTTGATCTAGACGGTCTGGAAACATGTAGGAATTAATTTGGAATTTGGAGCGTATTGAAGTTCCTAATGAACTTTGCAGGGCCCACCTAAGGATATCACCGGAGTGTGATCGAGTTCGTTTAGAAATTGGAGAAAATTTTAATAAGTCTGAGGGTAAACCATTTGAAACTCCCACTCCCTTTCAAAAACCGCACCTTTAAGGAAAGAAAATAAATTATTATACTTTAAACTAGTAACCTAATTTGGTGAGGTAATGTAAAAATTCCCACGTCAAATAAATCCGTTTATATCTTTCAATCACTGGAGGTGGATGTTTAAATAGCCCCCTCCAACTGAATTCTATACTGTAATAAATCAACCCACGCTTTATAAACTTTTCCAAATGGTAAAAATATTTACCGTTTAAATTAACTACCTTCTGGTGCAACTTTTACTTAATCTAGATGAGAGCATATGTTTTTATTCAACAGAATCCTTAATTTCAAGCTAAAATTTATTGAAATATCCCACGTTCTTTTGCATAAATTCGGAACTAATGAATGTTCAAGTGACTCGACTCGCATTAAAAATAGTTAGTTAAAAGAAAAAACGGCTGTTGGTGTGCTGAAAAAATCAATTTAAGTAGTATGTTGAAGGTTAAAAAGTAGCCAGACTGGTTGCATTGAAGTTTGTGTGAAAAGGACATTAGGTCACATAGATTAAAATCACTTGTGCTTCTGGGTGTGCTAACTTAATTAAATATCGCATATCGCCTTCTTTGGGAGGTGGGGGGGGGGGTGAGAAGGTTTCAGTTTTAGTCAATCCAGATTTTTTTGCATCATGCGCCTTTTAATGGATATGCGATTTTTTCCTAATTATAAATTTTCGTGGTGAATTCTACTTTATGAAATTAAAGCTAAACTTCATTTCAGATTATTTTTCACGTTTTACCAATTTGACAGATAGGCTGCTTGGTTAGTCAGATAGTCTACTGAGACAAAATATATCAACTAAAAAATACAGAAACAAGGAGTTTCGATGGCATACTATCAAAAACCGCATCCAACAGAAATTTTTAAAAAATGAGGCAGTAAAGTTCATCAAACATTTGATGAAAATCAGAAGGATAAAGTAAGTCTTTGGCAACCATAAAAGAAGGTATAAAAATCCGTCATTGATCTCCAATAAACTCCGGCGTTAAATTATTTCGGAAATTGAGAACATAGAGCTCAAAAAATTCATGGAAATATACCTGAATTTGCGATCAAAAGAAACACGTTTCGCCGAATTGCACAGCCGTCAAAGATAACTGCCAAGTCAGTGATCAAGTGCTCGGTTCTCTTGTTGGTACACACCCAGTTACCAGTATAAATGATCGCAATGGATAAAGTTGAATTTCTCTAATGAGACGCACTAACGGATCAAACAGTTGTACAGGAAATGTGTTCATTTATCGGGCTTGAACTCGTAGTTATATCCCACTCTTCAGTCAAATCCTCGTTTTATCATCCTAGTAGAGGTCGTTGAATGTTTTGTTCCTGTGCAGTCAAGGGGTGCTGTCGTCCACTGCCGACTTTGGGTAGAGTTGTCACAAGAGATCTCTATATACTCGAGTAAGATAGATAAGAGACGCAAATTATGAGTGGTCATGAAGCCAATACGTGTATTGAGGATGTAAATCAGGAAAAGGTAGTACGGAGATTACAATTGGTGAGAGGAGGTGGTCATTTACCGCATTCTCACCACGCTTGCCCTGAGAGGGGGGGGGGAGTTAACGAATTATGTTCATAACTCCTTTTCCCCTCAATGGCCACACTTAGCTCTCGTTTGACTTCCTTATTGATCCAGTCAGCGTGTGCCTCAGTTTGATTCAGAAAGCTTGCAGGTCTTCATCAAAAAGTATGTTTCTGGCTTACACTACTCTTAACAGTTGGACATTAGATCTTAAAAGCATGCAATTATAAATTCGTCATTCTCCCCAAAAGCTATTCAAGTAAATTAGCTACTTAAGTTTTTAATTTATTCCTCAGACATATAGACCAAAAGTTGTGTAGCTTTATTTGTGATTTTCGATTTCCCCATAGATGAGCTCCAAGACGCTAATTCACTCTCAAAGATTTGTGTTGAAGGGACATATCGATTCATCTGCTTGCGCCTTTACCTCTCCCACCCTGAGTCTACATTCTTCCATAATTTATCTTTGTAATTTCTTTGAGGAAAAATTCGAAATGTACGTTCATCCATGAACAAAAAATTGTATTGATAATAGCTTGGGGGTGTGCGATAGACTTACCTTCACGTGGTGCACCCTGGGCAACGTATACTCATACGGCAAAAAAGTCGATTAACCGGCAGTTGACTTCTGACTTTAAACTACCACGACCCCCCTGGTTGTCATATTCGATCCCTTCACTGTACTCACCTTACCTTTTTTTCTACCTTTGTGTCTGTCTGCCTCTTTTACATCTGTGAATCGCTCTTCTCTTCCCCACCCCTCGGCTTTCTTCTACTTTGATGAACCTTCCCTCTGTGAATCCCGAAGTCAGCTAAAGGGCTAACGATATGTGTCATAAAGCCCGCCATTTTAAATAAATAAATAAATAGCTTGGATATTGAGCCTCGGTGGAATTAACTAATTAATCCCACATTGTACTTCGATAAAGTGGTTTGTCCTCATAGCCATTCGGTGTTAACCGCCTATTTTATCCCCTGTATATTTCCACATGTATTTATGATTTTTTGTATTTTTAAAAAATTGACAAAAAAAAGTATCAATGTCATAAATTTTACATCATTTTTTCCCAATTTTCCGCAAGGTAAATAGATTTTAATGTATTTTTAAAATTTAAAATAACAGTTAATGAATTGCGCCATTTTTCACGAAGGAAGACAAAGATGCTATATCGGAATGTGGCCTGTGGTAAATTGTTGGAGACCGAAGATGGTCATTTTCTCCTTAATAGGCGTTTGCTTGCTAAACTGGAATTCTCTCTCCGAATGAAATCATTACCATTAAGTTGGGAAAAAATTGACACCACCAGCCTCTGAAATTCCCTGTGGTTCATTAGGTCAAATCTTGATTATATGGCTGAAATATAGTACCTTTGCAGTAATATATGGCATCAACAGGCAATAAAACCGTTCAGTTTAAAATGAACACGTTCAGTACTGAAACAGCTAAACTGGTAGTGACCTGCAGCATTATTATCATTATTAACACTTGACTCCCTCATCCTTGGAAGAAAAATCTTCTTTATAACCGGGTTTAATTAGGCCCATGGGTACTTAGCCTCAGAATAAAGGAAGAGGAAGAGTATTATCTAACACCGATCTTTTCAGGAACAAGCTAAAGTAAACTCATATTGGACTACATAGGTGATAAATTACTGGGCGGCTGATTAACCAATAATTGTAGAGACGGGTTCTTCACAGGTGGTCTTACTTATCTAGGTGAAGGCGTGGGAATCCAATAATCAATATTTCTGTGTTTACGAGAGATAAGACTTACGAGCTTCTTCGTATGGACCGAAAGCATTCTATTCGAAATCCCTCATTTTATAAGCTATACTTCTGTAAATTGATTGTTGCTGACAATTTTTCACTTGCTAACTCCCACCCTCCCCCCTCCCCTCCCTTGTGCAAATTCAATAATATGTGTAAATCTGCTAGTACTTCCATAAAAATCCTATTAGCTAGCCTCATCGCTGGTAACAAGGTTTCAGTGTGCCACGTTTCATCAATTAGCCACTGAAAATCTTGAAATGCGTATTCAAATGAGACTGTCCAGTTGATAAGACGGTCGATTGAACCAAAAAATTCAAAGAAATTTGGAAAAATAAATGAGGCAGAACTTTTATTAATCCTAACGCCGTTTTGGATTAGCCTACCGTTTGATATCTTTGGAAAAACAATTAGGCCTCTGCATGAAGGTTTTTAAAGCATTTGACTATTAATGCTGACAAGATAGGCTTTGACAGGTTTATGAGTATAACGGGACTATTTAACTTGAAGGTGAGCACTACACTAATATGCTTGACTTATCCTCAGTAATCTCTAAAACAAGATCCCCCAGTTTGTAAATGCGCCTACAATTGATTAAGCAACCTCAAACATAGAGAGGAGATATAAGTATGGCATGTTATACGTTTCGATTACTTATCAATCTCACAATTCGTAAGTGCTCGACAATATTCCTCTCTTTGTGTGGTTTGTTCTACAGATATTGTAAACTCATTTGGCCTGTATGCCCTCGCACCCAACAGCAATCCATTCTCCAGCATTTTAATCCCAACCATGGAGTGCGTCATCATATTATGATAAAGGAAGATCGCGTTTTCACAAGAGCACATCGCTTTCATCCACACAAATTATTAACTGATAAGAAGGAAGTCAAATACATGGTACCCTCAGGAACCATTCTACCTTCAAGCAGCCCATGAACTTATCTTTCACGTATGGCGGAGCAGGAAAACGATGACCGGAGGCCATGCGGTGACTAACGGGATCTCAACCAACCATCTGTCCCGCATTCCATATCCACGATTTTTCTCTGCAGTTAAATGTCATAGGCCGTAACTCCAAGTTCGGATATGTTTGATCCCAAAGGGAGAACGCTAAGTTAGCTGTTACGTACGCCTTTCGGTCTACACGAAGCGGAATAATTATTTCAACGATTTATGGACCAAGTTTTTCTTGGTTTAGAAGTCGTTTTTTGCATATATTACCGGTGTGTTTATCGCTAGCTCCAAACCCTGAAGAGCACAAGCAACATCTACGGCAAGTGTCCGAACGCCTAGAGCAATACGGAACCATGGTTAACTCCAAGAAGTGTATTTTTGGTCAAATTGAAATCGATTTTCTTGGTCATCATATTAGCGCTCGTGGAATTCCTCCTTTGTCCAAGAAGCTTTCCTATGGGGGGGGGGGGCATCACACCATCCCTTACTGTTGACTATTCTATCTGAGAATATTTAAAAAAATCTTAAGGAAGTTGAAATAACCCATCTTTCGAAACTTAAGGGGAGTATATTGAATTAACATAGCACAGTGACGATTAGCGTGGAATTTGTGTGTTTGCATTAAGTAATTAAAATAGATCGCAGTATGTGATTACTAACAGACCAACAAGGGGCTATCTTTCGATATAATATCCAAAAATTGCTACATGGAAAAAGGAAAAAAAATCACGCACATTTGCAATACGTTCAATTGCATGATTAGTTTCCCACTAAGCAGAATGGCAGTAATGAAATTTTCATAAGCGGATTTGCCGCATTTTACACAGGGCGAGATGCATTTTTAGGAGACAAAAGGTGTTGCTTCCTTGTTTTCGGAGCAAATGGGAGTGAATAGACCGGAAGGAGTCGAAATTCATCCATACTAATCTTGCGATTCAAATGATTATTGGTAAAGTAAAACAAGTGAAATACAGCCATTGTCTAAATTTGCCCTCCTTATTTCACCTGGGAGCATATTACTAACACAGAACAGGGGCCCAGTCCTCCACTACTCTTAGATACTCACGATATGTTAACGCCACTTTCAGTCTTTTAAGGAGTGTTGCATCACTGCATTTTCATACCTCATGAAAATGCCTGCTATCAACTATTGAGATCATTCAGAGTGAGTTGCATAGTTCTACCGTCCTGTCAAGCTCCAAATTTATAAGGGAGATGATGGCTCTGACTGAGATGTGGAGTTCGACCATACTGCTCTTTATTTTCAAAAGAATAAGGCTTCTCGGAAATTAAGAGCAATGGTCAGTTAAGGATCATTGAGTGATCATCACAACGATATCTTCAATCTACTGCATCCGCCATAGCCCCATAGGTTCATGTGAGACAACTATGTAAATTAAGGGAACTGCATACACGCCGAAGTGCCTAGCACGACTGTGTTGTAACGATGATCCCCAATCAGAATCAGGAAGGTCTTAGTAACCGCTTTATCCTGCCTTTTGTGAGCACTTCAAAAAAAATACTAAACATTTTTGCTGAGCTCTTAAGAAGTCTTGTCTTGCGGAATTTTGGTTGATAAATGACACTGAGATACTGCTGTCAGCTGATAGCCTATCCCCACACTAGCAATTTCGAAACCCAGTTGCACAATATTACTCCGCACTTAAGAGTGCTTTATCATCTCGTGCATTTCAGAAAAGAGTACAAAAGAAGAAATTATGAGATACTATAAGGTTAATAAAAGCAGATTTGCGGCGTTTATGGCTTTTCGCAGTAGTAATTCAGCCCACCTAGCACACCAAGCCTTTGATTTTCATAGAAAACATTTGACAATGTGATTTAGTTATTAAAAATTCTAATAACTATAAGTTGGTCCTTCAAATTTCTCCGACATGCAGTGACTATATACAGATTCACCGCTGACACCAGATAAGAGAAATAAGAGTAAAGTATCAAACGCGCAGCAATACAACTATCCTCTTATTGGCTAGCACGTCAAAGTCAAGAGCCAATAAGGTAAGAACTTGCTCCATTCACAGACCATTGATATTACGAATAGATGATGGGGGGGGGGGGGGGGACAGGGATGCCCCAATAGCGTCGCAAGCACAAGTACACATCTGTGATTCTGACAGATTTTTTTCACTTGTATTCAAACCAAATCTACACAAGCGGCACAAACATTCAAAGTGAGAAAAGTAAGACAGGGAGGAAAAGTTAGGAGGGAAGGAGCTAGGAATATAGCAGGAGAAGGGGATAAAAAATCGGGGATTCATTTTCTTTCTAGATTGTGATTGAATATAGCGTTTTGTAAGAATGAGAAATAGAGCGAGAGCGTGAAGTAACAACGAAATGCCCACTAACTACTTCGAGCGATATTCAGCCCCGAACTTAGAATCTCCTTCGAACTAGCTGTTTTCTTGGAAATTGAATGCTCAGATTTCTCCTTCCCGGCTTTCTCTGCATCCCGTGCATTCTCAATGAAGAAAGCCGAGGAAAGTGTGATTGTATGATTGACGGCCTCCAGGGTATTTTGATTGTTCAAATCGCCTAAAGCTGAAGCGAAACCGTGGCTTTCATCACCGAACGTGAAGTACCTAAAGGAATAAAGCAATATATATTGAATTTCAGTGTGCAACACAAAAAGGTGAATTTGAAAGGCTTGATGTGCTCACTAACCTGCAACGATCGCCGAAAGGTCGCTTCTTAAGAATACTTTTGATAGTATCGATCGATTTATTATCACCAGAGGGCATGAAGAAGACGGGTATATTGAGCTTTTCAGCATCCTCAGCTTCCAGCATATAACCATCAATAGAGACGCCAGCAACGTATCCGTAACACTTACTACTGCAGGCTCGCATAACCTGTTTGCCACCCCAGGAAAATCCTAAAATACCAAGCGAATTTCTATGCTCCTCGGAAAGAAGGGTTTTGAGGTAGTCATTCGAAGTAGAAAGAACCTAAATAAAACCACAAATACAAGTAAAAAGAATGGAAACGAATGAAACAACACAAAACAAAACCTACCTGGGTTATATAGTTCCAATTGCCAACCTTTTTGAGCCAACTGGAAAAATTTTCCTGATCTTTGGCAGGAAAGTCGTTTAAGGGCCAAGGATCGCCACCTTGGAAAAAATCAGGCATAAGGACATTGGCGTTGGCTTTGGCGGCAAGTATATCAGCATATCGGCGGGTTTTATTGATTTTGAATCCAAAAACATCATGAACAATGACAATTCCCATGCATGCTGGAGCAAGACTAGAGGTACTTACAAAGTAGGCATGGATATTGTTTGGCAACAAGATATCGGTTCCTCTACATTGGTAGTTGAATGGTGCGAGACCGGGATTTTCCGGTTGAATGGAAGTATTATTAGATGACATCTACCTAAAATTAATCAAGGCGAATATAATATTTTTAAATGAAATATTAAAAAGAAGCAAAACACGAACAAAGGAATACAATTTAACTTTAATGGAAAGAATCTAATAATACACCGAGACAGCAAACTTTAAAAGAGCCTGATAAAAAGCAATGTTAACCAAAATCTATATTTCACGAAGTTCTTCAGGAAGTTCTGCTTTTGGATGTTTGCTTTCGAAATGATTTTTGTACGTCTTCGGATCAGGCATCTGTGCTTTGCAAATTTGACAGGAATATGTTAGTTTCACCTCTGCAGTCTTCTTGTTATCAGATGGTCCCTTTTTTGACTGCTGCTTTTCTTGATTTTTCTTTTGAGATTGAATTTTCTGAAGTCCGCGTGCCATATTGAGGAAAGTTCGCAACCGCGCAAATCAAAAATGTAGTTTTAATTCAGCAATGACCCAGAAAACTAAATAATAGAAACAAAAAGTGTAATTAACGCTTTATTCATTAAATTAGCTGCATTAGCTTTCAGAACTGTAATTTATATTGTAATAACAATAATGAGGCCTTAACAATGATTTCTTGATTAAAATAATATAATATTTAATTGTTCAAATTTATAAATATATATATATATATATAATGAAGCAAAAGAAATGACTCACGTTTAATAGCCTTACTTGCGCAATAAGGTGTTCACTTCATAAAGTTTATTAGAATATAATATTTCTTTAAACGGATTATTCCCTCCAGTTGCATACCGAAACGCGTGGAATTTTGGTTAAGTAGCATTAATTTAACTACCGCTTGGATTTGACTGAATACATTAATTTGGCACCGATATTTATATTTAAGACCAGTGTCCTTACGCTGTTGTTTGTAGCTACACGAAACCAAACATGAGCTTTTGTTCGCCCTTATTTGTTAATTACAGCGGGTAATGTAAACCGTTATATATATTAAATAAGAGAGGCCAGTTAAAAGTTATCTAGTATTTTGTCATAGTATTTAGGTTTGATGAAAGAAAACAGAACTCTATATTGATGATGGTGATTGTTTAATGCATTGTGGCAATATGTGAATACTACTTAAGGGATCGCAATTTTTGCTGAATCTTAATAATAACCCAAAAATTTGCATTTTAAATTCCAATTTTCTATCCAAAAATTTTACATGAGTGATATTATATATATATATGTGTGTGTGTGTACATTATATGCTATTATATTATTTTATGTAGTCATTGAGATTAACTTATCATTCACAAAAAAGTGACATGGTTAGAACCCCAAGGAAAGTTAGTGAGAAACTTTTTGAATCCAGATATAAAAATTTTGTAAAAAGGGTAACTTTAAATACCTTGGATTTGGGTAGATATTCTTAATGTGGAAATTGATCATTGCAAGTACAAGAGTGAATATAGATGGAGAAGCATTCAGAGGAAACATGTTTTTCACGAAAAGTGACACTATTTGGCAAAGTATTAGCGGTAATATTGTGTAGGTTGTGTTAGTGTCTGTATATCGCAGTTGAAAGAATCATGTTACTTCTTTGTGCATTACTTAGATTTTGGCCTCCATTGGTGATTGAGCTAAGGTGTTCGAAGATACTTATGAATAGTATTCCCATAAGTTTTAGCACAACTCAAAATCTACTTTTTGAAATGCACTAAATCTCGGTGATTTTGATAGGCGTGAAGTAGATCTGTAAAATTTCATTTATTTTGAGCACCAATCTGTGAATAATGGGTATATTTTAAGGCAAAGATTAGCAGTATTTTAGTTTTTATTGTTTTATATGTGTTTCTATTTTTATCCTCTTTTTTATATGCCGACAATCGATGTTATTATTGCTTTCCTACATATGCAATTAAAGTGAAAAATTCCAACGGGATGCTTCATAGATTTTCAATGAAAAATTTTGCTAAGGAAGTATTCACTTGATTTTACCTAATTTTCGACAACATTTTAAAATTGTAATAATGCAATGGACTTGTTTTTGAGTATTTCAAATGGAATTAGATTAAAATACGTTTCAAAATAAGAACGAATGGTAAGACACAAAAGCTTATCCCATGTTCAGTTTATTATATAAAATATAATGATTCCTAATGAACGAAATAATTAACTTTTGTGAAAAACTAAAATCGAAAAAATATTTTCACCATCTAATAAAATCCGCGCAATTCGTTATTCGTAGGTCGTTTCTGTAGGCTTAGGTTCGCTGCTGTATATTTGTATTTCTCTTAAACTTTCGTTAATATTTTCTCTTTCTCTATTTTTGCTTTTAAAATTTCAATTTTCACGACGATTTTTGGTGTATTTTAATATATACTGGGAACCATTTGTAGAACATGGATTTTCAAATGAATGGGTCTGCTCCTATTCCTATTAATGATGATTTGCTTACTAACTGTCCTCCTGTTGAGGTTCCCCCTCTTGAAGTTCCATTTCACCTAGCAGATGATAATGGCGCGCGTTTAATGATTTCCCATGTTGTCTGTGAAAACTTCAAATCATACGGTGGTCGCCGTGTACTTGGTCCTTTTCATAAAAATTTTACTTGTGTAATCGGACCTAATGGAAGTGGCAAAAGTAATGTTATCGATGCCCTTTTATTTGTCTTTGGTTTTCGTGCCTCCAAAGTACGTTCAAAGAAACTCAGCAGTCTAATTCATAATAGCGATAAGCTACCCAATTTCAATTACTGCCAAGTGGCTGTTCATTTTCAGCGCATTATTGATACTGGCAGCGGAGCAACAGACTATGATCTTGTTCCAGGCAGTGAATTCATTGTCTCTCGAAAGGCTTTTCAGGACAGCTCAAACTCCTATTACGTAAATGATTGCAAAGCTAGTTTCAAAGAGGTCACTACACTCCTTCGTAAACATGGGATTGATTTAGACCATAATCGTTTTCTAATTCTTCAAGGCGAGGTCGAACAGATTTCTCTCATGAAGCCAAAAGCTGCAACTGAGTATGAAATTGGTTTTCTTGAGTACCTAGAGGATATAATCGGTTCGAATCGTTATAAACAACCTCTTGCTATTTTGGCCGATC